TGAACAATGGATGCGAGGAAACGAATCAAATGTGAGAAGTGCTCGGATCCGCACAGTAGACGGGAAGACGGGTCATATAAAATAAAAAAAGTGGCATTCAAGTCGATAAGTAAGACATTATGGCATTCTCAGTGGCGCTCAGAGAGAATTCGCCTGTTAAGCATCGTATTTCCGGATTCACTTCGGTAACAGCGATATTTATGAAGTAAAGTGAATGGACTAGTTTCATATGGCGCAGCTGCATACGGTGAAAGCTTGTCTGATCCCTTTTACTTATACTTTTCCAACCATCATGTATGCCATAATTGCGTATTTGCCGAGCTATTCAGTCAGATATGCCTAGTGCCTAAAATAGAATAGATGATCTTACGCAATCCACGAGAAGGAAACAAAATTAAGTGCCTAGCCAGTTGCGCTAATCTGATATCCACCCTATGTTGTTTTCTACAGCTAAAAATAGAGTTATAGGTACGGAAATAAGAGTGAGAAGGATGACAGTCTATAAACAGCCGACGGCACCACTAGAGTCCATAAACTGTTTATTGAAAAAATAAAAAATTATTAGTATTATATTAGGATTACTTTTCTCAACTGTCTTCTGATAAAACTTCAATGATGTTGAGATATTTGCAAAACTCCGCACCGCAGGTGTTTGCGGTAGGGAACGAACGCGCCATTGTCTTTTACGTGGAGTAACGCGTTCATCACTAACGTTTCTTCGAAACGAAGGACCCGCATGGTGTGGTGCTAAACGCGTTACTCCCTCGAAAGGACAATAGCGCGTTCGTTACCCACCGCAGACACCTGCGGTCCGGAGTTTTGCAAATATCTCAGCATTATTTAAGTTTTATTTCGCAATATATACCCTGCCATTAGAAAGAGTAGGCAGTAAAATAAAAAGCCGTTAAGATCGTCTTCTGATAGGTGCGGATGATGCAAAAAGCGGTAGAGAAATGGCTATAACAGTCCTGTTTGGCCTCCGTTTTTTAGTTAGTTGCCCAACTTCAATATTTCGAAGGTCATGGTTTGACGAAGTGAACAATATCAGAGTGCACTTCAATGATAACTGCCCATTTGTATGAGTCACACCGGCATTAAAGGACGTCAGTTCCTTCATCAATTCTCTTCGTAAGGTTTTGTTATCCAGAAAATATGGAGAAGAACTATTGGATTTCCAAACCTTGGAAGACAAAAAGTGCTAAATAAACTTCGTGGCGTATTGTTTTATAAGTATAACTGGTTATAGGCTTTGAATTCTGTTTCAAAACAATAAAACTCTATTGTTTGCTAACGGAATACAACATAATTCTTACATTCTTGTTGAGCAAACACGAGCAGCCCCTTTATTCTCTATTATGGTAAAGTTGATGTTTCGGCGGATTTCACATTCTTCAGAGCCTGGAAAGGTTAAGCTGACTTCAATCTACCCGGCTAAACACCTCCATAGCCAAAATGAGAAAATGCTAAACAAAGAGTTCCATCGCATTGAAAAGAAATTAACTTTTTCGCACACCTACTGGTTTCTACCAGTCCTCCACTTGGATTTCACGTAGGGGTCAACCGCACAGAGCTAATATGAAGCCATGACGTGCCTCTGACATTAAATTATTAGTCTTAAATACGACGTGAGATCACACGTGATAACAAGACATTCCTTCCCGCGGTTCGCGGTTCAAATTCAAATTTTGGAACCTAGCCAAAATGCTCCGAGGTTTTCGGTCTGAAGTTCTCGACTATTATGCGGTGATGGTGACTTCTATTTGAAAATCTTCCTCTTTATGTCTCTGTGTCCTATGCGCGCCTAGTGGAGTATTTAATATAACTTCAAGTTTGCCGACCAGGTGTCCTTTTATACGGAGGCAGAGTGATCTACCTGTTTGGCCAACGTATTCGTCTCCACACGCTTCACAAGAGATTAGGTACACTGTACCCGAACTCATGCAGTCCCTGTCTGGTTGGGTTCTCTTCTACAGCTATCCCTAGAAGCTACAGTTTGGTAGCCATTGGAAATTCTATTTGCCACGTCAGTTCCCGGGCTTCCTCGTTTTGCTCTCTTCCTGTGTACACGACAGTGGCTTTTCGAAACATGTTTGTTACAAGCGCCCTTTTTGTGTGTAAGACGTGAGAAGAGAGAGAGTGAGTCAGCACGTTTTTATCACTTGGCTATCGGTACCACTTCGTAATGTTGCCCTTTCTTGGGTAGGTTAATTTGAACGTTAAGAAACGAAGGCCAGTTTCCTTTCAATTTTCTGCGGGTAAACTTATTGTATTCCGACTGTTCAACCAATAACTCAAAACATTTGTCCATTTCCTCCTGTGCTGAGCAGGCGATAAAACGATGACATTGCAGTAACAGTGACAGAGCAGATGATATTAGCTCTCCTCCCACCCCTGACACACAAAAAGGGCGTTTCTACGAAACATGTTTCGAACAACCACCGCTGGCTCCACATGAAGAGAGCACAAGGAAGAATCCTACAAATTGGCGCTGCAAATAGCCATTTCGAGTAGCTACGAAAGTGTAGCTCTTCGGTATAGGCGTAAAGGAAAACCACGCTCGCAAACGATTTTTTCAGGGAGAATAGGACCCCATTTATCCTGCCATTCGTTTCAAACAAAATAAGTGCAATAAAATGTTGCTTATGGCAGGTCTGAAGAATGAGGTAACAATGATTGAAATGCGATCGAGTACTCTAAGAGGCCAACTGGTTCGCAACCGCCCGTACGATTGCCTGTGTACGTACAACACAAAATTGCATAATGAGCCCTAATGGTACAGATGACGATTTCATGAGTTCGGGTACGATTTATCTGATCTCTTGTGAAGCTTTGGTGACGAATACATTGGTGAAAAGGATATATCGCTCTGCGTTCGCATGAAGGAACACTTAGTCAGTAAACTTAAAATTAGGTTAAATGCTCGACAAGGCGCATAGCTCACAGAAGCACAGCGGAGATTTTGAAGTAGAAGTTACTATCCTGGCACAGGAATAGAAAACAAAAGCGCCCAAAACTCTCGAAGTATTTCGGATAAATTCCAAGGATACAAAAACTGATCACGCGGAGGAGTGCCTCGTCAACACGCGTTGTCTCAGAAAGTATTTAAGACTTATAACTTAATGTGAGAGGCACATTACACTTTTCTCTGAACTCTATGCTATTGGTCTCCACGTGTAATACTCCGTGGAAATTTCGTAGAAGGCGGAAACTGTACGAAGAAGCTAGTTGGTTTTCAATGCGAGAGAACACTTTATTTAGCATCTTCTCTGTTTGGTTATGGAGGCGTTAGTTTATTCTTCATTACATAGATTGGGTAGATTGCAGTCAATTAACCTTTCCGCGCTATGAAGAAGGCGAAATCCGGCGCGACGTCGGCTTTATCGTAATAAAGAACAAGGTAGTATCTTCTGTATGCTCAGCAAGAATGAAGAGAGTTACTTGATCAGTGCCGATGTTAATAGAAAGTCGGTCGTGGGAAACACTCCAGAGTTCTTTGAAATGTTTTCTTTCCATATTCATTTAAATCATAAAAGTGTGCCATTTTCGCCAGATAATGAGCCTCTTGTTAACGTCCATTTTTTGAGAAATAATAATGCACGCATGAAAATATATAACGATTTAAAAAATTGGAGAATAAAGCAAGCTATAGGAATGACGAAAGAAGAATGCCTCACTATCACACGTGACCTGGTGCCTTATTTCGAAATGATATTTTGACCCCTGGGTGGGTCTCGCTGGCGACCCCACGTGAACAACGTGTGGGCCAGTCCCACTCGTAACATCACGGTGAGTAGCCTTTCTGTTCAATATGGCGTTTATTTAAAGGCTTGATCTTCACTATTACTATTAAAATTTTGCCGAATATAAAGCTAGTGTTACATAAAATACGTCCAGGCTCCGACGAAGGCTAAATCGCCGAAAGGTCCATTGACCCATCGACTAACAACACCAACAACAACGAGAACGACAGCGAAAACCTATACGAACCCCCCCCCCCCTCAACAAGATCAGTTTATAAGACCATATGAATAAAAAAAGCTGTAGGAATACATAAAATTACAAAAACATGAAAATGTGAGCCCGCTGGCCTATTCATAGTAATTATTAACAATGACACCTTTGTATTTGAACGCAAAGCTCTGCTACGAAAATTCGAAAACCTACTAGTTTTTCATTATTTACTATAGTGTAGCTTAGTGATATGATCGGTAAACTCTTGTCATCTAACTACCATTCGAAAGACTTGGAATTAAACTTGATCTAAACATCCTAACCACTCGATGCTCTTGGTTTTAAAGCCGGGGCCATTTGCCGAATGTGAGTTCAGCTGTCTAAATATATATAATAAAACAAAGTGTTCGACGGATGCACTATGCATTTGACTCCATGAAGGGTTGTAGAAATGAATGAATAGCCTATGCAATGACTTGTGGTGGACTACCGATGGATGATTTCAGTGCTGCTATTTTCTCCGGAAGTATGGTAGAAACTTGTCCGCCATGGAGAGATGGACGACTTGCTTAGCGGCTCAAGCAATGTGCGCTAGCTATTGTGGCATTGCAAGGCACGTATAAGCACTGAGCTACATGCACGTTCTTCACAGAATTTCTCGCTAAAGTGTTGGGAAGAAGGTTGTTTTCCGGCGTCGATGGCGAGAAAATCATTCTCCAATATCTCGGAGCGCCTCGCTGCATTATATTTCTAGACGCTCAGTCAAAACGTGATCACCTGTTTCTGTATAGCCGTGCGTCAAATGAAGAACTTCACTGGTCAAGGTCAGGAAACTCGATCATAATCCAAGTTTTATTGGAAACGGGCTCTTAGTGCGCTTGTCAATATCCATGCACAATTCCCGTCTCGTAATAGCGGGAACAAGGAGTGCTCCAGACTATTAATCACCGATTACATGGAGACAATATTTTTTTTCCATCTTTATACACAAGAGCTAGGTCCTGTAAAAACTTCCCTAGCCGAAATAAAGCAAAATTCTCGTGGATAGGTCATGATTTCTGTTTGTAGTTACCAGTAGCATACCCAGATCTTCTCTGATCAGATAGAGAAGTTGAAAATCCTTCTTTATTGAACCCTTGACCAGTAGAACGGCTTTCCACTCCCTTATACACTAGTAGGAGCGAGTCCTGTAGGATCGATGGAGACAAAGTGGCCTAATACATTGAAAGCATCCTATTGAACACCGTTACTACAATTTGATGTTGAATGAATAATGACTTCAAAACAGTTTCAGTTGGTAGGATAGCTTTGCTGCCAACCTATAGTTTTTCCTAAGTTCGAAATGCACGGAATGACTGACCGAGTTGTCGCGGCAGAGCAACGAGAGCAACACATTCTTAAAAATCAGCCACTTCTCAGCCGTAAAACTCATAGAACGTACGTTTCCATGCTGTCGTCCTACGATTCTGAAAAGTATTCTGAAAAACTCTAGCTCGAAATGAAAGTTTTTCAAAGAAACAGCTTGGCTAGGATAGTGAGTGGTTCTTATGATTTCTCAATGTATCCGCTCCTTAATATAGCTGTGAAATTGTAATGCGATTCAAAAATTGAGTCTTATATGCTTTTGGATAAACCACACCTGTCCATGACGGGTGGATCGTTAAGTAGAAGAAGTATAAGGAAAAACTCTATGCCGCAAAACAATCCCCTCCGTCCACAGCTGTCCTACGCATGACCTGGAATCAGCACACCTCGTCCGGGGTATTTTATTTACTTGAATACTTGAATAGCCCATCCTCACTGGTAGTGTGGGCCCTAGAACAATCTCCATTTTTCGGAGATGAGATTCGGAGATATGCTGGTAAGCCATTGTGGTTCCCTGGAATTTCGAGGTCAACCTGGTCGAATTCTACCTCAGGTCTTCACCACCACAGGCAGTCGTAGCCCTTGTGGATCGGAGGGAGATTTGCCACCATGCGACTCTGATACCAGGACGGTGGTGGATCCTGATATTGATTAACTCTTAGCTAGGCTTCCTGATGGAAACTGAAACGGATTAAAAAATATTACTCACTCCTAATGCAAAACCATTTGTGGAATTTCCTATAATATGAATGTCGTGAAGAAAATATAATTTTCGCACTCAAAATTAAGGATAATGGTAAGGCCGTTGGTATTTATTGAACCCTGAGGAAGCGTCGTGCATTCGACTTCATCAAGCATCGTTAGAGGTAACTGAATGCATATCTAGCCTATGCAATAACTTGCAACGGCCTACCGATATATGGAGTCAGTGCTGGCATCCTTCCAAACAAGACTGGTACCAATTTTCGAACCTGGAGAAATGAAAGACTTAGTAAGCCTGAGAGTGGGGATCGAACCCACCTGTAATGCAAAACGCCATGCTACGTCATTGATGCTTTGTTCCATTTCTAACCACCGTAATCGTCGAACGTGGAATGTCGCCAGCATCAGACTAGGTAACGTAACGAAAGTACCCCTCTATTTGTGGCTCTGTGCGTTAAGACCGAACAAGATTTATTATTAAGAAACAGAAAGTTCCCAGGGGAGCAACACCAATGCCGTTGCCATCAGAACAACAGCTTTGACAATGACACCTCATTCACTTGAAATCTTCTACCAGGAGTGAAAATAGGCTCATCGTAATAATTGACGACGTTTTTCCAGTTTGTGTACTTGAAAATGGAAGCAAAAACGTTAACACACAAAGGATAACTTTGAAGTTGCCTCAAATTCTATTCTTGAGTGGAATAGAAGCTCGCGCTGGATAACTTTTGTTGGAACATCAACTTGTGACGAAAGGTTTGCACTGATTGAAACTTATTCGACGGTTATTCTCAGCAGAAGCCTTAGGAGACGGTCGGGTGCACCTCCTTACGGTATATATATATATATATATATATATAGTACACGTGGTGCAATGGTGGGAAGCGTTCTGCAATACACACGGGATCGATCCTAGCGCCAAGGCCCACCAAGCCTTCTATCTCTTCGGAGTCGGCAAATTGGTACCAAACTTGTCTGGAAGGATAGCAGTACTAGCTCGACACATCGGTAGGTCGCCACGTGCCATTGCAAAGGCCAGATGTGCTCACCTCCAGTGACTCTTAATGAAGTCGAATGCATGGCGTATCCCTTAGGGATTGACCAACGCCGAGAGTTTTATCCTTTTTTTATTCTTTGCGTATATATATATGTATATATATATATATGTACACGTATACATGCATAATTCACTGTTCTTTGTGAGCAAACAGGAGGCTGATATCATAGCACCTATTAGTACACAGTAGCCGAGCTCCGGCGGTTTTGCCTTCTCCAAAATCTGAGCGGTCAAGTTGACACGCAATCTACTCAGGCGAGCACTTTCATGGTCTTAGCAGATAAGACTTAGCACATAAATTTCTATTCGCGTGGAAAAGAAAAAGCCATTTTGTTCACTGAAAGGCTTTCGGTTATTTGATGGAGAGCAGTCGCACAGAGTATTACATGCGTGAGGAATGTGCTTAGCTCAATTCAGAGAACCAGCGTGTGTGGGCCTGGATTAGGCGTTATCACAGTACACTTCTATTGGGACTCAATTTTGGATTTTTGGAATTGATCCAAAACGCTTTAAGTGTTTTACGCACTGATGCTTTGGATTGTTTTGCGAACACAGTGACTTCTAAGTCAAAACCTCCGTTATGTTTCTGTCTTATGTGCTCCTAGAGGAGAGTTTGATTTCACTTTAAATTTACCGTCTAGGTGTTTTTCTTTATACAGAAGCAGAGAGGTCTACTCGTTTTGCCAATGTATTCGTCTCCACGCACTTTACAAGAGTTTAGCTACACCGTGGCTGAACTCATGTAATCCCCTTATCCATCGCTTGGGCATATTATGCAATTTTGCTTTGCACCCAAACGGTCATACAGGCGGTTGCGAATTAGCCGGCGTCTTAGAGCACTCGCTGGTATTTCAATAGTTGTTGCGGATTTCTATACATCGGCCTTTACCAAACAACGTTTTATAGACGTACTTATTGCGTTTCAAATGATGCGCAAGAGAAACGAGACCCTATTCTAGCTAGAGTTATCATTTCGGCGAATAAATTTTCCTCCACGCCTAATTCGAGGACCTAATAGGAGCTATTTGACGAGCTATTTTTGAGGATTCTCGCTTCTGCTTTTTTCCTCTGCACACGCTGGCGGCTGTTCGAAGCATATTTGTTACAATGTAGCCATGTTGTTTCTCGGGATAGGTGCAAAGAAAAACCCATGTGCAAAACGATAAAGCTAGCGACAACATGCTCCACTTTATCCTGTCCTTTATTTCAAACGAAGTAAGTGCAGCTATAAAACGTTGCCTAAGAAGGCCCGGTCTAGAAAATTTGGTTACAGTGAGTGGAACACTCTAAGACGCCAGCTGTTTCGGAACCGCCCGTTTAACCGTCTATGTAAAATTTCATAATACGCCTTAAGTATAGAGACGGTGATTGCACGAGTTTGGGTACGGTTAATCTGATCTTCTGTAATGCTTGCGTGGAGGAATACATTGGTGAAGCGGGTAGACCACTCTATGTCTGTTCATTCAAAAGAACACCTAGTCGGTAAACTTAAAGTTCAGCCAATTACTCCAATAGACGCACACACGAAACAGAGACATATTGGGGAAGATTTTGAAGTAAAGCTCGTCATCCTGGCGCAGGAATGCAAAGCATATGCGCGTAAAGCTCATGAAGCGCTTTGGATTAACTCCTAAGTTCGAAGAATGAACAGCAAGCAGGAATGTGCTGTGATCATGCGTGACTGCGTGACCTTGCGTCATACCTCAAGCTGATTCTGTGACCTGACCCAAGCAGATTTCCCGCCTATCTAAGACTCTGTGCGACGGGTTTCCACCAATTTACTGGAAGATTTAGAACGAACGAAATAATAGGTGTTTAAGAAAAGCTGTTTATTACGCGAATGGAAATTTATGCATCAAGTCTTGTCTGCTGAAATTGCCGCTTGCTTCTTGTTATGAAAGTGTTTGGTTGACTACATTGCATGTCAATTTGACCTTCATAGGCACTGAAGAATGCGAAACCGCTTAAACGTCGGCTATTGTGTTACAGTGAGTGTTAATGTGTAATACCAAGCTTGTGTTTGCTTATCAGAAAAACATTGAAGAGTCTTTTCAAAAAATCTCTTTAACGAGTTCGTAATCAGTCTAAGCCTTAGCCTGAGCTCAATGTACTCTATCGGTAGTGATGTTTTCGTCGAATTCTGTTATGAGGTGAGATTCCACGTAAAAGCGACAAACCTCGAAATTTTGGTAAATTCACGACATCAAACTCTTACCTGAGTACCTGCACGATATTCTCCGCTTCTTTTGGTCCTTTTGAAAGCATTTCTAGAATACCAGTGAAAAATCGCTGAAATTTGCCCACGTGTGTTCGAAATCGCTGGTCCTTTCGTAGATCATTCTCATTCAAGTTGTCGAGACCAAAATGAACGGACAGCTTAACTTCCTCTTCCTTAAAAGCACGTCATTAAAAGTACTTAAAACCAGCCGAGCCAACGAGAACAGATTAATAGTGACTTACAATAAATAACTGAACAAACATTCGTTCAAAAAGTTCGTACTTATCACCGATTTTTTGGTACTCTTCACAAATCCTGTTCACTTCTTCTTGATCCGCTACAAATACACGGCCCGAGTAACTGAAAACATCCAAAAATCAGAAAACTTGTTGAACAAAGGCGAATTTTGATTAGAGTCCTAATGTGGTCGAATGGTGAACAGTCTCCCAGACAATGTAGCTTTTTCCCAGGATCGACTTTCTATTAACCTCGACATTGGAATATGAATGTGTTGTTTTGTTGTTCAGCAATCACGAGGTTGTTATACGGCATACACTTACTTCCATACAAAAACACACAATACAACGCTAGCTGACGTTTCGGCGGTATCGGCTTCTTCAGAGCTGTTTTTTTGCGTGACTTCCACTGGGAAAGAACAGCTGATTATAGTCGCAGACATTTTTTCTTCCTCAGTGGAAGTCACGTAAAAGAACGGAACTGGCTAAGGCGAAACCGCCGAAACGTCAGCTACTGTTGTATTGTGTATTTTTGTATGGAAGTAAATGTATGCTGTATAACATCCTCGCCATTGCTGAACAAGAAAACGGCGCATTTAAAGCTTTTTCATCAACTTAGTTGCTATTTGGGTGGTTTGCTTTATTTTAGATCATTTTTGATTATTGGTACGCAGTGTATTTCATACAAGCATAACGAATTTGAATGCTTATACTTTCTAAAAGCTTTTTATCTTTCTTGAGTTTAAACAAAGCATGATAACAATAGTCAGAAATAAGCAAAATCCTTTGCAGTAAAGTCTAACGGAATGTTCTGAATAGTTCTATGCTGGTAAGCTACGACATCGATCATAGGCGTCCCAAGCACTCCTCGAATCAGAAAAATCTTAAACACCGTCTGCTTAGTTACAGAGAATTGAAAGCAGTCAATTCCATCCTGTAAAGAACACAATCGACATCTGCCTCGGTTTAGCGCAGTTTTTAGGATTTCAACAAAGGTAGGGAATTTAAGCACTGTGATGCTGAGATATTCGCAAAATTCGGACCCCAGATCAGATTCGAACGCCCATTACCCTTTCCGAAGGCTCATGTGTTGCACTACTGCTTTTACTCTAAAGGTGCTTTGAGGAATCAAAGAAGTAGGATGTTTAGTGAGTAGGTATGAGATCTCAATGGTCCTTGTTTGCATTCGCTGTTTTCCCTGTGGACAATAATCTAAATTGACGTAAAAGTTCGCCCTCTCGGAAGTCGTTCAATCTGCCTGGAAATCGCATTTTACGAGGCTTCGTTGATGTTTGTTGTTTACTTGGTGTCAGTCTACGTCATGAAATGTGGAAGAAAAGTGAACAAACCCAGAAAATCCGAAGCTAAGAACGGAGCAAAATCACTCTAAAGTATCATCAAAAATTATTGCGTAAAAACAGCTATTGGACAATCTTTTTCATCCTAGGTAGAGAGAAAAGTAATAAAACATCAAAAATTATGAATACTACAGAAAATACATTTCCCTACTAAACTTTTCAAAACTAATACCTTTTTTAATTACTTTGGCATGCCGTGCTTTCTATAAGAACTGACTTTTTCAAACGATTAGTAGAGAGAATAGTGCCAAAGTCGACAGGATTTTCGTAGAGTATTCGTTCCTATCAATGTTAATCATTCTTTTTTGCTAAAAGCAAGATGGTGAGATTGTCATTAAATTTTTTAACCTGTTCACGCCGTGAGAAAATACTAAGCATTTAAATCAAAGTCCATTGAAAAAAAACTGGGCTTTTTTTTTGCTCAATACTATAAGGCGCATGTAGCGCACTGGTACTAAAGCTGATCTGCATTATACACACCACCGTTGATTCGTTTCCGTGTCCCAGACAGAACAGGGTATTCATCGTTCTAGGTAGTCAAGCTGGTACCATACTTGCCCAAAAGAGCAGAGAAAATTCACTCGATTTATTGGTAGGTGCTCGCAAATCACTATGCAAGATAGATATGCATTCAACCACCTCTATGATGCCTATAGAATGCATGGCGAATATCTAAGGGATTAGCAAGCGCTGAACGTTTAACCTTTGGAAAACGAGAACTGTGGTGGATTCTCACTAATGTTCTATGAAACTTTTGTTGAACAGAACCGAAACATAAGCTATTAATCGTTTAAACTACAAATGGAAAAAAAGTCAGGTGGAGTCAGTCAAAGTCTGCACGACTTGGAAATCCTTTGCTAAAAGTGTTACAGGAATGTTGGAAACTATTTCCAAGAAGTGTATCTAAGTCATTAAATCTAGCACGGCAAAATATCTTAATCAATTACTAACGAAAGCTATTTAAAACATTGTGAGAAGAAAATTGAGAACAGAGAGAAAATTGTAACCTGCTACTAAGGTAGACATTCTCGTTACTTGGCGGTCGCTGTAGTCTTCGTACTAAGTTCTGAATCCTCGTTGTGTTCATCACCCTAAAATTATTCGCTAAAGTATCTACGGTGTAGATGGAAACTATTGCTTTCTATATTGCACTAGAAGATAAAAATGAGTGAAAATAAGGATAGAGGAGGTTTGGTGGTAAGTGGGTGGGACGAGAAATGAAAAACAGAAAAATTCGATTATCTTTGAGGAATTGGAAAGGAAGTAAACAGAGGAAAGTACTATTATGATTCCTGGTGAATGATTACTGTGCGAAATTATGAAACTGATTCAGGAATTCTCTATGAATATGAACAAAGGTGATAAGGCAAGAATGGATAAGTGGAATAACAATCGAATCAGTTTACTCTCTGCTACAGAATAGGTTTATTTATCGGAAATTGGATGCAGAAAGAATACAGCTACTAACTTCAGTAAAAACTAGCAAAAAGAAAGGCAAAACAAGGCCTTCATTGGTGGAGTGGGCAGCACATGGGGACCGGAAGGCTTTACCGTCGGTTCAACCTGGCCTGGGTCCATGTTTTGCAAATATCTCACCATCACAGTGTATACCACATCATACTTTACCGTGAAAAAAAAATAGTGGAGAATGAAGAAAACGTTAATAATATCGAAGTAATTGTTTAAAAACTAAAAAAAATTTTCCGTATTTTGCATTAATACCGAAAACGAACTTCGAACAGGATTGGAGGGAATCGAGCCAGCGGCTAATCTATTGCGGTGCACGTACTATTGCTGCTCTACCTATACTCCAGTCGATTGAAGGCAACCAATAAATACATTATGAGACCAAATAATAATTTCGCTATGTATGGCTCGTCGTTAACGGGTGTTCTGTCTTAATAAAAAGGCAATGGATAGAATACATGTATATGAAGATAATAAATTGCCATGGTAGGTAACATTTACGGATTTTCGATTGCTATCAGGATTACAAAAGCTCAACATTCAAGTAATTGAGAAAAAAACTATTTTAGCGTATATCTCACAATTACAGAAACAATGACAGCAGATGATAGACGACAACAGACAACAGATGATAGACGGACGTTTGCAACGTCAATTAATCTCTTGGCAGTGCGACGCTGGTCCCCAGAGGTGAGGGGCGCTAGCCAAAACAGCAAATTCTCATCAGACGTCATTATTCATTGAATTCAAGCAAGCTGGAAGCGTTCAGTTTACAACCTAACTAACCACTTCAAGTATCTGAAAAATCTGATCCAGTTCCTCGGATGCATTACTGACAAATCTTTAATTTTTCCTGGGAGCACATCATGAAATTGTGACTATGATGTCTACTTATCAGCATCGCCAGCTTCCGGAAAGAAAAACGTTTAAAGCCTAGTTCTTGTACGTGTTTCGGACAAACCTTTGTAATCTACTCACCATAGACGAGCTGGGCAAGCAAGTCAGCAACGAAGCAACCAGTTACGTAAAGCAGACTTTCGTTGACCAGCTGCTTGATAGAGCACTATCTTGTTTTATAGCTACTTCCTCTTAATACTTTATTGCCCATGATGACAATGTGTTTCTGGATATTCAATTGCGACGTCCTGTAGAACTTGGTTTACCTTATAAACTCATCAGAAATGGGCAATAGTTTCAAATTTTGATATCCGAGCACGGTTAAAAACAAACCCACGGCGCCAGCCTTCAGTGAGCTATCTGTGGGAGCCATATTGCCAACAAGAGCAAAAAATAAAAGGTGCTCGTGCAAATATAGTAACCATGTTTAAATCGCTTTAGCTCGAGAGCTCGCTGACGTGCCGCAGAAGCGAAGATTGACATCACTAATGTCCACTGTGGCTAACGATGCAAGGTCATCAAGAAGCAAGGTGCTAGTTGAACCACCTCTCCACCGCGCTGTCCTCCAATCCACAAAGGAACACCTTAGTCCGGCCATCTGCAAGATTGGAAGGAGAATCGACAAGAACATGTAATATTTTCGAAGACCTCTGTGGACGATGAGTGAGCGGAAAACGAATCAAATCCAAGAAGTGCTGGGATCTGCACAGCAAATGTGTTGATGCGTCAAGTAAAATTCAAAAAATATTAACACTATCAGATACTATTTATTTGATATACTAATTGAAAGTAAGCAGGAAACATCGAGTTCAAGTAGGTAACAATTCTGTTTCATTCCTGAGCAACGAATCCACCTGGAAACAATCTACTCGTCATGCTCACACTGTCGCTAGCATATGCTTTAAGAAGTGTTTGTGGAATTTTTCGTTATCCACTTGACCACCTCGTCTTTCTTAGCATTGAAATCATTTTAACAGCAAAATGTTTCTTTTGATTTCACAGGTAATATTATCCATGAAAATTAGAAAATGTGGCGCATGGAAGTAAACATAAGTAACACAATTGCGGTTTAATCTGCAAAATTAGAAAGCTTCGATCAAGTCTAACTGCTCATTTGGGATCGTCACTTATCGAAAATCTGACCATTATTTTGCAGACTGCATTTCGTACTTAACATGACCCTATTTGGATTTGGAAAGGGTGAGCATTCCTTATTTAATGACTTCTTTTCGACTATCTCGCTATATTCCCCTTGGCAGAAGCATTGATAGCATGCATAAAAAAATAATTGCTTAAACAGTTAAATATTTGAACGCGAATAAAAAAGAAGGCCTAAGAGTAGAAAGGTTTCGCGTTAAACCATCCGCTAGGGATACATCATGGATTCGACTCCATTAGATATCGTAAAGGCGATCAAATGCATATCTGGCCTGTACGGTAGCCTACTGATGTATCAAGACAATGTTTTATCCTCCCGGACAAGTTTGATACTAGCATGCCGAATTTGGATGAATGGATGGAAGGCTCGGTGAGGCAGAGGCGCGGGATCAAACTAAAGACCATGTGCATCCCTCGAAGCTCCTCTGATTGATTAACTGCATGAAGTTGTGTTGGAATGTGTGATCCTCACTTTCCGAAAAGAGTGGAAAAAATAAGTGCAGAGCGGTTGAACTTCTCAGTATATTCCACACCTTCATGAAAAGCTAAGAGCATCGGGCACCATTCATTTCAGGCCTATTTCTAGATTTTTTTTCGGACACAGGATACCTATGGATATTTTGCTGAGCTTTGCCGTAGACTTTGGTACACATCTGGGAAACCTGTCCATCTTACCTGAAACAAGCGACGAATTTTTGGCGACTCTGATGCCCCTCTCTTGCGTAATACTTAATCAGCAAGAAATCTGTCAAATGAGATAGATGCATCGACATTCCTTCTTATAAACAAGAATAAATTGAAGAAAAAGACGCCAATAACAAAAACGCTCTAGAGAATTTTGTGATTATAAAGGATTCCCGTGGAGTGCGAACCTCAGCCACAGAAGCAGTAAGCATTGGAAAAGAAAAAGTAGGAAGATGAAGTGCAGGACATTGATCAATCTCTTAGGGATGGGATTAGTCTTAGAGGCGAGACTCTATTAAGAGGTAGATGAATGCTTTCTGGTTCATGCAATGAATTGCGAGGCCTGCTGATGCATCTACTAAGCGTTTTCTTTATCTCGAAAAAGTCCAGTAGCAATTCATCGAATCCTGAGAGCATTCATTTGCCGAGAGGACGGAAAGAATTTAAGAAAAAAATTTGCATTGTATATCACAGTGCACCTAGAACCACTGCGGTACATTTCCGCTGCTCCTGCTAATACAGTCCCATTGAAATACTTTTGGGAAAATAAGTGTATTCCTATTAAAACCTTCGTTCGAAAACAACTTCCTGCGGATGGTCACTGTGTGGCCATAGAAATAACATTCTGTACGGGAAACTTGTCACTGTTTCCACTTCTGCGTGCTGGGAATTGGCAACAAACTTATCTGGGATGATAGGAACACTGATTTGATACATCGGTACGCAACTGCACTTCCTCTTATGCAGTTATTCACCTATTGCAGAATACAGTCGAATGGTCCAATCCCAAAGGGAAGAACTCAAAGCGCTTCTGCTAGAGAACAAGAATACAGGACAACAAATAGTGTTGGTCGTCAATATGTGACAGGAGAAGTCGGAGAATTGGAGAAAATCACCAAAAAATTTAGAGGAAAACGACGCAAATGATTAGGTGAGCATTCAGGACCGTTATTTCGAAAAAAAAGTCCTTACTATTCTTGGACTAATTCAGCAGGTGATATCTTTTAGCTATTTTATACGGCCCGTATTTCAGGTCTACAGTGCGGATCCCAGCAATTCTTGTATTCGACTTGTTTCCTCGCATCCATCATCCATGAAAGTCTTCTAACTTCTAATGTGTGGCTTCGACTGCTTTTTGAGGGTTTACCTTCTGTCACGAGTGTCTCATGAGTGTTATTGAATGTTGGTCGTGTATTATATCTTGAATCCTAAGATAGTCATATTAGTTTCCCACTCAGGTTGCAGGAGTGCACCTTTCCCAGAGGAGTGTGGAACCAACTACCCAACCCTTGGAGTAAGTGAGGTTTCGTGTAACCGGGACGGAATTGTTTAAACCAGCACCGTGCTAGTGATGATCGGCATCTCTACCACCGCCATGCCTACCCCTTTGCGGAAGATAATTATTTGCAAATATGATTAAATGACAGCGAGTTCTAAAACGCTCACATGATTGTGTTAAATATTGGGAGAAAACCGAAATTGAAACCGAAAAACACCACCTCAGCTAATTTTTTCAGTGCATAGACGAACAACTTCGGCGCTACCAAAATTGAATTTTGTTCCTGAGGCAATAAGGTATTCGCTGAGCCCTTTGCAGTGCAATGCACTTTACGTATCTAAAGATCGTCTTATTAGAACGAATAAGTGCCGACCAAGAAAAACGTTTACAGTTTTCCTTTATGGAAATTATACATAAAATTTGTGCTCCTCCTAGCTCTGATGTATATGAGCGCTCCTTACTTGGCAGGTTTTCCAAAGCTGAAAAAGAGTGCAAAGTTTTCGTCCAGAAGCTTCGTCTATAAGTAAACCCGCGCTAGGAATTATCGTCCTCCTAATAGCAAGCTAGTCACAGAGAGACAAATTTATTTCAATACGCAAGGGACAGAGACCGTCAGTGAGGCGATCTGAGAAAGTCCCTACACGACGATTTCGAGACTCAAGGGAAACCAAATCTTGCTTGGGTAATAAATTACCACGAGAATGTGAATTATGCTGGGGATCTCAAGATTCCATGTAAAAATGCACCGCACAAGTAGGTTAAAACATATAGGTTTCCAGCTTAGGTCTTGTTCTACGTTTTTCTTTCTTTCACACTTCCTCTCGTTCTCTTACTATCTAATGGTTAATGTGGGCATAAATAAATGTGAAATGACTGTGATAAAGATGCAGGCACTGAACATGACGATATAACTTGTTGAACTGACTACACAAAATCGGTGACTGACTGGTTTACGAAGCAGTAGAGGAAAAAATATGAGGCCAATCAACTGCGAGATGTTTTCAGATTCATTACGGCCTTTGTCGCTTTGACAAATTGCGTTACGTAGAATGCTGATAAGTGCAGCAGCGTGGCGGAAGTTGATGTGTTCCTAAATTTAGTACAACATCGTTTCTATTTTCGTCTCCGTCCAGCCTAAGTTTACCAATTCCAGAGCGCGCTTATGAGAAATTGATAACAATTCCTAGAGCGGGCTCACCTTAGATGAAACCTTGTAGGAGGGGTCTCGGCTAAGCAACACTGATAAATCTGCCATCAGCTCGCCGAAAGTTGAAGTTAGAGGTAGTTAATGAGTTGAGCACAAGTATTTGACTCCGATAATTATTTAATTCTAATGATAAGGTTTAACGTTTTGTTTTCTGCCTTCTATAATTTTCATGGCAGGTTACTAAGCGAAATACAACCACAACGTTGCTGAGATATTTGCAAAACTCTGGACCGCAGGTGTCTATGGTGGGGAACGAACGCGCTATTGTCCTTTCCGGGGAGTAACGCGTTCACCATCACACCATGCGGGTCCTTTGTTTCGCACGTCTCTCAGCTATTTCTATCGATCTTTTTGCTACAGCAATCACCCGTCAGCGGGGTTGCTTACAGACGAGAGAGGTGAAACGAAGGACCCGCATGGTGTGGTGGTGAACGCGTTACTCTCCGGAAAGGACAATAGCGCGTTCGTTCCCCACCATAGACACCTGCGGTCCAGAGTTTTGCAAATATCTCAGCAACGTTGTGGTTGTATTTCTAATGATAAGATTTTCATAAACAATGGATCGAAGTAAGTGATGCATTGAAAATCATGTTGATTTATTTCTGCCCCGATCGGTTGACGATCTTTGATCACCGAGGAGATTGGAGAATCGGGCGAACGATGTTGACCAAGCAAAAGAAGAACATTGGAATTCATGGAATAAATTTAAGCGCACATTCAATGAGTTTTATTTTGAAAAGCAAACAAAGTGAGTTCACCATAAGTTTTGATACCTTACAAGTAGTCACAATTTCACAAGGTAAACAGTTCCTCCTTTCGTTTCAGAAAAGTTCCGTTCGACAGCAGTAAGTTGATTCACCCAATTCTAAACTAAATGACACACTCAAATCTTTCTAAAATTTTTGTGGTAGACCTCTAAAGTACAACTGACAGCGCTTGGGCGAGGCGACAAAGGTATGACAGTGCTCCTAATAATTCTTTGCCACTTCTAAATACACACTGTTTCAGATTAATTCATTGTCGAGAAGATCCTATATAACTCATA